CTGGGTCTATTTATTTATAGATTTAACTTACTTTACTATTGTGGAAGATATTCCGAATACACCCATCAAAACTCTTCCCATGAGGCTTATATTGCCAGCGGTATGATGAAGGTTCAAACTCATCAACGTAAAAGCCACCTATTTGAAGTGGAGCATTAACATTGAGATATTCATTGAATGGTGGGATGGTTCCACTGGCACGGCAAGAGGAATCATCAAATAACGGAGCTGCACCATTTTCTGTTTCATCAATATCAGCTCCCTTACAGAAGTCTACAACTAATTGTACAGTCTACAGAAATAAAGCAGGAATTAGTAAAATGATAGAAAATATCCAACCAAACTCATGTTCCGTCATTTAACGGAATAGTACCTCAGTGTCCCAGAAGACATCAATACGATGCCATTCTCCATCATCTAAAGTATGTTTTGGTTTCACTCTCAGCTCTAAAGTGCCAGAGCCAAAGTCAATCAGTAGGCGGGGATTTCCCTTTTCTAACTCCAGAGCAATAAAATCTGTTGAGATGTACAAGAACAAAAATTAATTGAATTTTCACACAATATGAAAGGACTAAGATACAAAACCATTCAAATGTTGTAGCCTTGTACCTGAAACTAGCTCCTCTTCAGGTTCAGGGGGAACGATTGGACCGTTGTAAAGCAGAGTACCATCACCATGGCGTGTGGCAAATTCAAGACTAAGATGCGACGTGTCACACATTTCTAGAGGCTGATACCAGGCCCATCCATTTCCTCGGAAACTGCGAGCAGTTTGTTGGCAACGAGGTCCACTGTACCCACTCGGGCAAGAGCACCTGAAATGCACCACTGACATTAGAAAAAGGCTATTGCTAGAAGATACTCCATAGAGGAATAGACTACATACGTGACACCATTCCTTCCTTCTTGGCATCGACCACCATTGTGACATGGGCTGTTGCGACAGGACTCTTCTTTGCTGAAGTTACGTGCACCACAAGTGCATTCTGGAATTATATCTAATCGAACGCCTACAAGTGCTGTTTTGTTTGCATTAACCATGTATGGAAGGTTGCTTATTTCCATTTGGTTTGTACATGAGCCTTCACAGTTTTGATTTTCATACAGACACTCATCAATGCCAACCATTGTAATATTTATTCCTACATCTTTTTCAATCTAAATATGATAAAAAGATGAGTTAGGATACAATTCAATTAGACATGGAAAAAGTGAATAGTTACCACTTCAGAAACTGCAATGATAATACTATAGATATATCAGTTGCTACATACCTCTTCGCGCTTCATTAGAACCAACCCATTTAGTCTCACAGGCTTGTAATATGGAGATCCATGAGCAGAGAAACGAATGTCAGTAAGAGGTGGGTTCCTGCGTCTCGATTGGACACTAAATACATCAACATTTTCCCGGTCAACATGAAGCAAGTCAGCAATCTTTTCTCGGAATTTATCTGCCTTGCTCCTAACTACACCTTGGGTCTGTAAAATACATTAAATAAGTTCAAAATTATATTTCTACCTGTCTTGGCAGTAGAAATATGCTCATAAAAATCAAAAGAATGGCCATGAACTCACCCTATAGTCCCACACACGAATAAAATCTTCATCTGATATACCCGAAATTCTGATTGATCCAGAATTAATCACAGCCTCATGAGGAATTTCACGAACAGTTACAGTCACGTTGGCTGGAACATCTGTCTGGGTATGCTTCCTGTCAAATACTTTGAATTTAAGATGGTACTTTCCATCTCGAGTGCCATGTCTCATTGTGATCATGCCAGTATGCTCATTCAGCTTAAAGTTAGTGTGTTCACTCGATTCCCAATAAAACATCTTGTCAGGAAGGTCCCAATCATCCAGGTCATAAACGTATACTCTCCCAATTTCTGTGTCAGGTGCCTGTCCCTATAATTGGAAATTGAAAAAATTAAGTAAGCAAAACAAGCCACAGCTACAGTTTACAACCATCATATCCAACACATGAGCGTGTATACGAGCATAATATAATTAAAAATCTTAAAAATCTGGAAATGTGCCAAAAGGGTAAACTTACCATGTAGTTGTACACAAATATTTCTTTGGAACCGGACTGCATCTTGTTGTCGTTCACATCACCAATGATGACAGTCAAAGTGCTTGTCCCCGACATGGCGGGGTTCCCCGAGTCCTTGATCACGATGGGGATGAGGTACTCCTTCTGCTGCTCCCGATCAAACGATCGCAGTGACGAGACGACAGCCATGCCGTCACCATTGGCACCCTCTGTGGGGAGAGACAGGGAGGAACACACTCGTTATTAAGTTTTAGCTCGACTCGTCCGGCGTTAGGGGCAGGCGGGGAGGTACTCACTCTGGTCGTGCTCCACTTTGAACGACGCCCGGATCACGTCGTCGGCCGAGGGGTCCATGCGGAAGATGAAGGGCGGCCCGTTGCTCTTGGAGCGGTCGTCGTCGTCCGTGGCGAGCACCTCGACGACGGTGCGCGCCGAGGTGTGCTCGGGCAGCACGGGTCGGTAGTCCTTGAGGAAGGTGGGCGCGTTGTCGTTGATGTCCTCGACGATGACGGTGAGGGTGGCGGTGGCCGTCTTGGGCGGGACGCCGTCGTCGATGGCCAGGATCTTGACCTGGTGGCGGGGCGTCTCCTCGCGGTCGAGCGAGCGCTGGATGTTGACGGTGCCCTCGGGGCTGATGGCGAACTGCCGGCGCCGGTCCGAGGACCGGTCGATGGCGTACGTCACGTGGCTCTTGCCGCCCTGGTCCGGGTCGGTCGCCTTGAACGTCTCGAGGCTCTTGCCGATCTCGGCGTTCTCGAAGACGCGCACCTCGATGTTGGGCCGGTCGAACTGCGGCTTGTTGTCGTTGATGTCGCGCAGGCGCACCACCACCCAGCAGTAGGCCACGTGGTACTTGTCGTTGTCGTTGTCCTCGCCCTTGTCGTTGACCTGGATCTTGAAGCGGAAGCCGTTGCTCTGCAGCGGGTCCTCGTAGTCGAGCGGCTGGACGATCTTGAGCGAGCCGGTACCGTCGTTGTTCCGCACCATGGTGAACTTGTCGGCGCCCAGCCCCGAGTTCTCAATCACCTTGTACTGGAACTTGTTGGTCTCGTCCTCATCGTGCACCGTCACCGTCAGGATGGGCATTTCGGGGAGGGTCGTGCCGTCCGTCTCGTCCACCTCGGTGCACCACTCGTCCTTGGTGAACTTGGGCGGCATGTCGTTGATGTCCTTGACGCGTATCGACGCCGTCCCCGTCCCCTTTAACCCCCCTCCATCTATCGCGACGACCTGTATAGAGTACTCCGGGGTGCGTTCGCGGTCCAGGCAGCATACGGCCGTCTTGATGACGCCCGTGTCCGGCTCGATGTCGAAGATGGGCGACCCCGTCTCCTCCTCGATCACGTTCTTCTCGATGGAGTACGTCAGCTTGGCGTTGGTGCCCTCCTGCGGGTCGTCGTAGTCCACGGCCGTCATGGTCATCACCACCATGCCTGCGGGGGGAGAAGCGCGTAAGAACATTTTCAAAGCAAGGAATTTTAAAGTACAATATTTTTCTCATAATTTTTTTTCGAAAAACTTCAGGAAAAAAACGGGGAAAAAATTAAAATGTTTCCATAAAAAATGAAAGAAAAAAACTTTAAAAAAAAGTTGAGACGAATTCTTTAAAGTACTTTTCCGGAAAATTAAAACTGCTAGGCGTGCTCACCTGCGGTGCCGTTCTCCGTCACGTTGCCGAAGTACACGCCCTGCGGGAAGGACGGGTTGTTGTCGTTGATGTCCTTGAGGTTGACCTGCACGTCGGTGTAGCCGACGAGGCCCTCGCCGCCCTCGTCCTGGGCGAACACGGTGAAGCGCCACTGGGCGCGCCCGTTGGGCTGGTCACGGTCCAGCGGCTGCAACATGGCGGCATAGGGCAGGGCGTAAATACTCGGCATTACGACGGGATGGGGCGGGGCGGGGTGAGGCGGGGTGGGGCCGGGCACATGGAAGACACGCAACTCCCGCAACTCCCCCCTCCCTCCTCTCTCTTATCCTCTCCCTTGA